TCAATTAAATATGAATATATAAAACTTTTCCTTTGAAAAACATAATTCAAATTTTTTTTTATTTAAAAAATAATGTATTATTTGTTTTAAATCTATTTACATACTTTACTTTATCTCTTTCTTGGATTACAGAATTTGTATTAAATTTAAATCTTCTTCATGAAGGTACAGAAGCTCAGGAGATCAGAACCAGGTTTGGTTCTCAAGGGTCCAGAGGGATTCAAAATAGGGACAGGCCGTAGCATGGACAAAGGTAATCCAAGAGACGTATCAGGGATTAAGATACATCACGATACAAAAGGATACAGTAAAACTAAGGATTTATTTTTAAAAAGCAGAGACAGTAAGGATTTCAGCATAAAATTTCATTGAGGGTTTACAGAAAGCTGACAGAAAACGTGAGCATAAAAATAAACCCTGAGAAGTTGCATGCTTAAATGGGAAGCATTTCTCTGTGCTGGAAATTCTCAGTGTAATGTAAAATTAGGATAACAAGAAAATTTTCTTAATGGTATGTGTTTTATTATTTACTTTCTCCTGCCACACTTTAATTTACTTTGATCTTCATAGAAAATATTCCGCTTTTCATTTTTTCCCTCTAAAGCCATCCACAGGCTTACCTCAAATTTCCTCATTTCCTATAACTATTCTATCATTACGTTATGATCAGTTTTTTTCCTTGTATTTTCAAATGCATCTTTTACCTCAACTTCTGAAGTGCACTCACTACTTTGTTCCCTGCCTTTGATTTCATCTAGCTCAAATGCATCTATCCCATGTCTGCTATATTGATTGATATAAAACACAAGTTTGACGATGTTACTCTCCTTTTAGAACCTGATCATTACTGCCTGTTCCCTGCAAGAAAAATTTTAGGCTTCTTGACATAGCACAAGAGACTCTCCATGGCCTGCCACCATGTTCATTTTTTTACATTCGTGCTTGATCATCAGGAAAAGGTTGATGGTGGGGAGGGAGGAAGAGTGTACTTTATTGCCTCTTTGCCTTTCTTTATGTTACCCCTTTTTTTTTTTTTTTTTTGAGGAGCTTATACTCTTTTTTAAATTTTTTAAATATTTTTTTTTATTTTTTATATTATAGTTTACATACAATATTATATTAGTTTCAGGTGTACAATGCAGTGATTAAACATTTATATAACTTATGAAGTGATCACCCCAATAAATCTAGTACCATCTGACACCCTACATAGTTATTACAATACTCCTGACTGTATTCCCTATGCTATACTCTACATCCCCACAACTGTTTTGCAACTACCAATTTCTACTTCTTAATCCCCTCCCTCCTTTGCCCTTTCTCTCACCTCTCAATCTGACAACCATCAAAATGCTCTCTATATCTATGAATTTGTTTCTGTTTGTTTATCCTGTTCTCTAGATTCCACATATGACATTTGTCTTTCTCTGTCTGACTTACACCACTCAGCACAATACCCTCTAGTTGCAGATGGCAAGATTTCATTCATTTTTATGACTGAGTAATATTTCATTATATATGTATATATGCATGTATGTATGCATATAAAACCACCTCTTCTTTATCCATTTATCTACTGATGGACACCCAAGATGCCTCCATATCTTGCCTATAAATAATACTGCACTGAACAATTGATTCATATGTACCATCAAAGTAGTGTTTTGGATTTCTTCGGATAAATACCCAGGAATGGAATAACAGGGTCTTTCTCTATCTCTTGTTACAGCCTTTGTTTTAAAGTCTGTTTTTTCTGGTATAAGTATTGCTACCCCAGCTTTTTTTGTTTCCATTTTCATGTAATATCTTTTTTCATCCCTTTATTTTCAGTCTGTGTGTGTCTTTTGATCTGAAGTGAGTCTTTTGTAAACAGCATATGTAAGGGTCTTGTTTTCTTAACCATTCAGCCACTTATCTTTTGATTAGAACATTTAATCCTTTTCCATTTAATTATTGCTTGATATGTAGTTATTGCCATTTTATTACTCATATTTTTCATCTTTTTTTTTTCTTTTTTCATCTTCTTAAAGAAGTCTTAACATTTCCTATAACACTGGCTTGGTGATGATGAACTCTTTAGCTTTTCTTGTCTGAGAAGCTCTTTATCTGTCCTTTAATTCTAAATGATAGCTTTGCTGAGTAGAGTAATCTTGGTTGTAGGTCCTGGCTTTTCATCACTTTGAATATTTTGTGCCAATCCCTTCTGGCCTGAAAAGTTTCTATTGAGAAATCAACTGACAGTTTTATGGGAGCTCCCTTGAAGGTAGCTAACTGCTTTTCTCTTGAAGCTTTTAAGATTTTTCTCACTGTCTTTAACCTATGGCATTTTAATTATGGTGTGTCTTGGTATAGGCCTCTTTGGGTTTATCTCGTTTGGGACTTTCTGTACTTCCTGGGCTTGTATATCTCCTTCCCCAGATTAGGGAAGTTTTCCATCATTATTTCTCGAAATAGATTTTCAATTCCTTGCTCTCTCTCCTCTCCTTCTGGTATCCCTATGATGCAAATGTTTGCATGTTTCATGTCTCTGAGACCTCTTAAACTGTCCTCATTTTTTGGATTTTTTCTTCTTGTTGCTATTCTGAGTGGGTGTTTTCTGCTACCTTATCTTCTAAATCACTAATTAGATCTTCCACTTCATCTAATCTAATTCTTCCTAAAGTATTCTTCATTTCAGTTATTGTATTCTTCATTTCTGGTTCTTTTTTATATTTTCTATCTTTACTTATATCGTTTCTATCTCTTTGTTAAAATTCTTACTGAGTTCATCTACTGGTTTTCCAAGCTAGAAGTTGTGGGAACTTCTCTTTCTGGCACTGAAACCCTGGGCTGGGTAGCCTAGTGTGAGGCTGGGACCCCTCGCTCTTCTGGGAGGACCTCCACAGACAAGATATTTCTTCTGATTATCAACCACCACATGCAGGTGTGGGACCAGCTCATTTCACATCTCCGCCCTTCCTACTAGTCTCAAGGTGGCCCCTTCTATGTGTCCCCATTTGTAGGACTTCTGTTCAGCTAGACTTCAGGAGACTCCCAATGATGGCTATTTTTTTAGTTTAGTTGTAATTTTGATGTGGTTGTGAGAGGAAGTGAGCATAGTGTTTACCCACTCTGCCGTCTTGACCAGAAGCCTACCCTTCCTATCTTTAATCTTTTCTATTCAGCTTACCTTCTACTTTCCATTAAACATTCTTGCCAGGCATGACCTTCTTCACAATTTTTTTGGACCACTCTGTCTCCATCACTATAT